GCCTGGGCTGCATTTGTCTGCCTGTTGTTGTTTGCAGACTGTTTATGACATTATGCAAAATAATAATGGAAAAAAAAACTTCTCCAACACTTGTCACAGGAGAATGTGTTGCTATGGCAGCCATTTGGAGCGCCCTTTGCGTCAAATATCGATGAGAAGTGGAAACCCGATGCGTCAGTGTGTGACGCAGAGGGAGTCTGGCCTAATGTAAAGAGTTTGCAGTGAGAATAATAAAAAAAAAAAACACACATCTCTGGTTGCAAAGCAGGAGGAGAAACCTCCTTCTGTGCAGGGTTGAGACAAATAGAAGCAGCTAAGCTTTAATAACTTTCTGCACATATTTACCAAAACGCATCTCTTTAATGTTGAAAATGGTCAGCTGGAATTTTCTACAACATATTTAAAAAAAAAATCATGAAAAACTGCATTAATAAAATTAATTAAATGAAAAGTAGCTTGGCTTCTTTGGGCAACCTAAGTTCATTTATAAAGAGTAATACAGTACATACAAATATAATTTAGCCCTATTTATATATAATTACAGCTATAGCATGAAGGATTTTAATATAATCTGCAGTCAAAGTGTGTGATGATCAGCAGCAGCAGCGCGTTAACTTCAACCAGGCGGGAGAAAGCGTGCTGCGCAAAAACCTGACTGCGTCAGATTCTCAGAAACAATCTGTGTTAAAATAATCTGCTCAGATCCAGCGGAGTGTTTTCAAACAATCATTTATTATTAAACATTTAAATATTTGTTTGTTACATGGAATAGATGGAAATGCAATAGAAAAGAAACAAATGCATGTGAAACAGTGAAACAAACGTCAGGAGGTGAGCATGCAGCTGTAGTCCTTCTATCTTTCATTCAGAGGTGTGGAAATATGGACAAATGAGAGACATTTTCGTTGGGAAAGACCGAGCTGAGCCTTTCCCACGGATAGATAAAATTCAAGATGCGCAATTAGAACCTGACTTCTCACCAGAGTGCGCAAAGTGTGCGTCAGAGGGGCGCTTAACGATGCGTTAGTTCCAACAGGTATAGGCGCAAATGGGAGCTGATGTTTTACTTTCCCACGAGAAAGAAAAATGGAAAAGCTCTTAAATGGATTAAAGAACGAATCAGACCATCGGAGCGCATTGGCAACTTTAACTTATGTTGTTTTTGTAAATTTATGGAACATATTTTCAATGTAAAGTTTGAAACTAAAGCGTTTTCACCAAAGCAACCCCCCCTCATACACCCAAACACCTTGAAATCCTTTTGAAATGCAGACAGCGACCACGCGTGGAAAACAAATGGGCACTTAAAAGGCGCCTGGTGTTAGACTGCAGGCTGATTACCATGAAAACAAAGACCTGCATGCGCATTGGAGGTTAGTGTCACCACTGACCTTTGCCAAGGCTGAAAATAATAATACTGATTTAAAAAAAGAGGTTAAACTGAAAAAAAAAAAAAAAGAATGCAAATGTTTTTGGCATTTACTTACGGAAGAGGAATTACGGAAGAGCATTAGGGCCACTTAAAAAATAAAATAAAAATTTATTTCAGTTTAGTATGGAGAAAAAGTCAGAATTCTGACTTTTTTCTCAGAATTCTGACTTTTTTCACAGATTTCTGACTTTTTTTCTCAGAATTCTGACTTTTTTCACAGATTTCTGACTTTTTTTCTCAGAATTCTGACTTTTTTCACGGATTTCTGACTTTTTTTCTCAGAATTCTGACTTTTTTCACAGATTTCTGACTTTTTTTCTCAGAATTCTGACTTTTTTCACAGATTTCTGACTTTTTTTCTCAGAATTCTGACTTTTTTCGCAGATTTCTGACTTTTTTTTCTCAGAATTCTGACTTTAATCTCAGAATTCTGACTTTTTTCTCAAAATTCTGACTTTATGTTCAGAATTCTGACTTTTTTGCTCTGAATTCTGACAATAAAAAAGTCAGAATTCTGACTTTTTTTCCATACTAAACTGAAATAAAACTTAAAAATCAGTTAACTTTTTTTTTTTTTCAGTGGCCCTAACCTCCGTATTTACTTAATCATATATAGTTCCTTTAAGACAATTGTTCTATGTCATACCCTGATATGAAACAATTGTGTTAAAGTAACTAGATTCCATCTTAGGCAGGTCCTGAATGTTGTGGAGTGATCATATAGTTTTAGCAGTGACGGGTTGGGTGATGGGGAAGGGGTTATTTTGTTTGTTTTATTGTATTATATCTTTGTGCTTCACTACTTGACTTGTTCTATTGTAGTTGTCCTGCTACTTTCTCTATTTGTGAAGCTTATATTTCTTTTACTTTAACAAACTTTTGTATGAGCAACTTGTTTAATTGACTTCTATAAGCCTACCTTGCAACATCTTATAACTGTGCTCCGCTTTTTGTTTATGTAAAACTCAATAAAAAATATCTTGAGTAAAAAAAGTAACTAGATTTGGTTAAGTAAATGCCAAAACCTTTGTATTATTCCTTTCAGTGTAATAGCGGGGACAGAAAGAGAGTCAGGAGCAACACAGAGAACACTGATAAGGAAAAGGCAAGTTTATTTGTAGCACATTTAAGTATACGGACAATTCAAAGTGCTTTACATGAATTAGATACGTAGAAAAATACAAGCAAAATAAAATGTTCAGTTCACAAAATTAAAGCCTTAAAGTGAAGTCATCTCATTTGAATATGAAGAAAATTGTTATAATCATTTGCAAACTTATTTTCTGATCAAATATCTATTGAAATCAATTTCTTCTTAAACTTGTATTTCATAATCATGACTCGATTATCTCATTATGATGAAACGCGATCTCATAACTGTGATTTAGTATCTCATTATAATTAATTATTACATCATTATAAGATATTTAAGTTTCGGGGTTTTTTTTCATCAGAGTGGTGGAAATGTGCTTCTATATGTAAACAGACTAACAGGTTGGTTTAAAATAAGATTTTATGAACAAAACTAAATCAATTTCTGGGATTATATTCTCTTTAAATGAATGTACACTTTTTAAACTGAACAAATCAGTTTAAGTATTGATTCTCATTCAACCTTTTCAATAATAATCAAATAACACAGTTTATTGGATATTATAGTATTTTTATGTGATAATCCACTGAGAAGAAAAATTATTTGGAATGAAAGGGATATACACTTTCTAATTTTCATTTCATAGATAAAATCTGAAAAGTGTGGCTTGCTTTTTCATAACTCTAAATCAAAAATAAGTAGAATCTGAGGTAAAACATGGAGTTCAATATTTAGTTTTAACTGTATTAGCAGAAATGTTTAATCTCAAGTGTAAAAAGTAACCATCCCAGGACATAGAGGGAAAACTGAATGGAAGGAAAAAGTTTGGAAGCTTTATTTACAATCAGCTGTGAAGGTATCAGTGGCTTATTTGGAAAACCGAAGTGAGCAAACGGAATCCTGAAGATAGAGGAGGGGATAAAAATGATCTTTTAAATTAACCTTTTACTTCCCTGCACCACTTTTAATTTGCAACAAGAAACCACACTTTATCAATTTGAATTCATATTTATTTCAAAGGAGCTTTACACAGATCTTTATCGGACCTGAAGACCTGATAATCGCCCCTAATGTTAAAAAACTTTATGTAGCCTTGATAAGAGTGTTTTCAAGGCTTCATTTACTATTAAAATAGTTGTCAATCTTGTTCAAATAAAGTCTGGAACCCCACAGTTACACTGGAAAAAATCTAAATCTAGATAAGTCATTTTTCTTAAAATAAGTGCATTTGTTCTTAAATTGAGAAGGTATAACAGACATTTTGCCAATTTAACAAGACAATTTACATTTAAATAAGGAAACACAATTGCATTTTTATTATTTCAAGTGTGTTTTATCTAAATATCTTATTTTAAGAGTAAAAATACTCATTCCATTGGCAAATCATCTCATTAACCTACTAAAGTTAAGGGTAAATGCACTTAATTTGAGACAATTTTACTTATTTCTAGATCGTTTTTCCAGTGTAGCTGTAATAATTTAAAACTTAATATCCCCAAAACAACACTGTGACTAGTGAAAATGCTGAGTGGCTATAATCACTGTTCAAAGAGGCTGGTGAGCAAAAAAGTCCAAGTCAAGGCCTGGAAATAACCAACTATTTAGACCGTTTAGCTTTTTCACACAGAGCCAGGTTTGTTCTAATGCTTTATACCTTAATAAGAAATATATATATATATATATATATATATATATATATATATATATATATATATATATATATATATATATATATATATATATATATATATATATATATATATATATATATATATATATAATTAAATAAGTCTTAATTGCATTTAACTGTGTATATTTCTCTTTTCGTTTTGATTATTAACAATATGTGACAAATAGAACAAAAATCTGAAAAAACAACTTTAAGGTTTGGGGCAAACAAAGTACTGTTTGGTTTTTCGTGACATTTTTAACCATAAGAAAAATATCTGTAAAAGCGCAGCAGCATGTGTCTGTGTCCAACCTCCACACTGCAAAAAATTCAAATCTCAATAAGTGATTTTTTTCTTAAAATAAGTGAATTTGCTCTTGGATTAAGGTAGTAAAAGAGACAATGTGCCAATGGAATAAGACAATTTACACTTAAAATAAGAAAACACAATAGCATTGTATAATTTCAAGTGCATATTATTTAATTATCTTATTTTCAGAGTAAAAATACTCATTCCATCGGCAAACTATCTCATTTACCTACTTAAATTAACACTTAATTTAAGACATTTTTACTTATTTCCGGATCGTTTTTCCAGTGTCTATTTTTCTCCTAGTTTTCTAATCCTAACAAGACGGAGGGGATATTCACTGCCGTCAAACAGACGGCTGCTACCCAGCTTTTTTATTGTACAGTTTTCACACCTGGATGTTTTTCAATGAGCAGGAAATCCTCCTTCACACCCTTTCGGACAAAAGGTCGTGTTGGAGGAGGAAAAAAAAAATATCCTTAACAGTTCTTTTCAGTTTAACAAACATTTTATTGCTTTCTTTATATATATATAAAACAAAATAACGCTCACCATAGGGAGACAAGCAGAATAAATTAGTGTGCAAAACAGACAAGATAAAATGTGAATATCTGTGGGAAGGGATGCGAGTTATTTTGAGCCACAGATGTCGCTTGTGCCGGCAGATATGACAGCACTTAGATGGAAAACAGAAGGCTCTCTCTCTCCCAAACTCAAATCTCCAGGTTCCACACCTGGAAATGTGACGGATGGACACTGGATCATTATCCACATTAGGGCGACTGATTTAAAATCACACAGGCTACTTTTTCTAAAGACACTGTTAGAGAGGAAAAGCTCCGGGATACTCACCTCTTCACTTGCTCTTCAGCACAGCAGCAACGCCAGGCAGGCTGCCTGGAGGATCCAGATCAGGACCTGGTCTAGGAGAATCCCTGCCAGAGGACAACATGGCCGCCACACTAACTGAGGTACAGCAAGAGTGAGTCAACCTTATCAAAAATACTACAGCACAGATACAAATCATGACCTCTTTTTTTTTTTTTTTACATTATTTACAGGATTTCATGTTTGATCTTAAAGACGTAAAAGGAATGGGAAATTCTTTGCAACATGGAAATGGAACCAGTTTAAATGGAAGGGTGGTTAGGTGTGGAAAGTTCTAAAGGCGCTGCCCATTGATCATGGCCAGGGTCTCCATAAAGTCTGGCTCAGGGTCCCGCTCTGGGACGACCCCTCTTTGCCCCCCGGTCTATCCGCTCCCATCTCCAGCCCACCTCCACTCTGAGGCTGCTGAGGAAATCCAAGAAAACTCTGCTGGTCTGAGAAAGTGTGATGATGAGCTGAGCTGCTGGCTCCAGAGGCCTGTGTGGGCTGATTGGACCTGGACCTCAGCCTTAGCATCTGGAGGAGGGACTTGGTGTGGGTCATGGAGACGGAGGTTCTGACCCAGGTGTCTGCAGAAGGGCTGTCTGAGAGCGGGAAGCGAGAGGAAAAGGTGGCGTCCAGGACCGGTCCGAGCCACAGGCCTTTCCCTTCAGGCCCGAGGAAGTGAGACGCCCTCTGTAGGCAGCTGGAGAAGCCGTCCTGGAAGGAGTATTTCTGGCCTCCGTTTTTTTCTTTGTGTTCTCTGGCATTTCTTTGTAAGAAGAGAACCGTATGCTCCAGAATCTCAGCCTTTTCCGCTCTGTGCTGCGTCCCACCCTGCAGTAATGACAATTAAAACGATTTTATAACATACAAAAAAAAATAAAAAAAACAGAATCCTAATTGTTCTGCATCCAGAAACCAAACAGGTTTCCAGTTTGAAACTGGATGCATAGATTAGTTTTATTTACTTGTTGAGGCTCCTGGAGCAACATGGTCCTCAGACGCTCCAGACTGCGGTTCATTCTCTCCCTTCGACGTTTTTCCAGCTGAGATTTTATCAGCTGGAAGCAAAAAGAAAGAAGTTGGTTATTGCATTGCATCTGATTTTTTTTGCACATTGAGATCTGATTAAAAGTAATAAATGTAAAGTTTGTGTTAAATTCTCAGCAGTACCTTTCTCTTGCTTGCTGCATCGTCAGTTTCTTGCTGCAGCTTCATTATCCTGGACTTTTCAAAGTTCTGTTCCAATCCAGGAAAAGCTGCTTCCTTCCCAGTCTGTGACTGATAAGGTACTGAAGCTCAGGCCTCTTGTTTCTGCATTTATCACCTCCATGCTGGCCCCTCCCATCTGAGACCTCCTCCTTGTACCCCAGCTGATTTTTACAGCCAGTACTCCCTCCCCCAACACCTACCAACCTCTCATCCAAGTCTTTCAGTATCTCAGAAGACCTGAAACTTTTGTTTTATGATGAAACTAAATGGGAAAAAGTGTAATTCAGAATAAAAACAAAATTTAAACAAAATTATTTGTATTTGATTTCTCTCTTCTTTCCACCTCTTCATTCTACATCATTATACCTGCACTGCAGCCTGATCAAAAACAGTTTTCATGACTAAAACATTCAAAGTTAAATTACTATCAAAGTGTCTGATTAAAAAAAGTGAAAAGGAGGCAAAATCTTTACAAATCAATGATAATTAGACTTGGAAAACATTATTTGGTTGATTATTTTTGTAATATACCATTGAATATGAAGCACATTGGCATTAATTTACCAGAAAATGTAAAAGTTTGTTCTAGGTTAGATTAGATTTGATCCTATATTATTAGCTTTTCATTGAAACCTCCTTAAATGAGCAGTCAACCATTAAATCAAAGCTCAGGATGCTCAAAATGGATCTATGTCTGGTAATAAAATAAATAAAAAAGATCCCATTCTGGGCTCCATTGCAGGTTTTGATATCCTAATCATTCTTATATATTGATAATTCATAAATACTTCATTAAATAAAATTAAATGCAACAAAAAGTATTTAAGCAGAGTAATTTAAAAGGAAAAGACCGGTTTGTTATCAGTAATTTTACAAAGAATAATATTCAACATTAGAAATCTTAAAGCTCTTACATCCTTCACACATTTGAGCTCCATAGCCACAGTCTGAAATAGTTGTTGCAGCGCCACACTGAGGCTCAGCTTGACTGTTCTCCACTCGATAAAAAAAAATGGTAAGTGTCGGTTTCCATTTCTGTTGAATGTTTGTAATCCACACAATAACAAATCTCTCAGAAACCAAAGGATGTTTTTACTTTTAAATGATTTGACATCTTTTCAAGTTTTCTGGGAGTTTATTCCCTAAGAACTAAAAGCTTCTCCTCCAGGTCTGGTTCTGCAGAGTAGATCTGAGCCAGAAGACCTGAGAGGTCTGGCTGTTCATCCACTGCCACAAAGATTAAAGGAATAGTACACCCAAAACATGATTAGCCTTCATTTTCTACTCACCCCCATGCTGAACAACACTCAGGAGTACTTTTTTGATATCTCAAATGCATCTGGAGATCTGGGAGGCTTCTTGCTGTCTGCTGACATTCAAATAATGGAGGTCTATGGTGACCGAGACAGAAAGGTCCATAAAAGTCCACAAAAAACGTGTCAATATTCCTCCATACTGCTCGTCCAATGTATTCCAAGTGTCCTGAGTGGGTAGCATCCATAATTTACTCGAAACGAAGTCATTTAGAATGTTTTTAGAGCATAAACAGTAGAGTATAGGACTTCCTAAAAGCGCGTTCACAAGTCTACGGAAACCGCGGCAGACCAAACCAGATGAAAGTGCGCATTCAGCTCGGCAAAGAACTCATGCTCTTCCTCAACACTGAAGTCCTCAGACATTTTTCTTTCGTTGTTTCTTACTTTGCACAGGTAAACAGCACATTTCTTCTTCTACGCTTGCATTATCGGCAGAGCAGACGCTGAATGCGCACTTTCATCTGGTTTGGTCTGCCGCGGTTTCCGTAGACTCGTGAACGTGCAGGCGCGCGCTTTCAGGAAATCCTATACACTACTGTTTATGCTCTAAAAACATTCTAAATGACTTCGTTTCGAGTAAATTATGGACGCTACCCACTCAGGACACTTGGAATACATTGGACGAGCAGTATGGAGGAATATTGACACGTTTTTTGTGGACTTTTATGGACCTTTCTGTCTCGGGCGCCATAGACCTCCATTATTTGAATGTCAGCAGACAACAAGAAGCCTCCCAGATCTCCAGATGCATTTGAGATATCAAAAAAGTACTCCAGAGTGTTGTTCAGCATGGGGGTGAGTAGAAAATGAAGGCTAATCATGTTTTGGGTGTACTATTCCTTTAATGTGTTTAGGACTTTAGATCTGGGCCAATGTTCTCTACTTTTTTAGTTCTAGTGAAGGTGCAGGCCGCGGCATTGTGGATAAGCTGTAGCTGATCCAGGGAGAACTGTGAAGACGCCGCTGCAGGAATCAGGTCAGCTAAAGAGGAGCAATACTGCTAAAACATTAGTCCTTTAATCTCAGAGATGTTCTTTAGGTGATATAAGGACAACTTTTTTCCTGTGTTTATTATCCTCTGAAGGTTCTAGGGGTGGAACGGTTCACAAAATCCACGGTTCGGTTCACGGTTTTGTGGTCAAGGTTTTCGGTTCGGTATATGTTTATTGTTACACCGAAAAATGAAAAAAATTAACAAAAATTATAAAAATTAATGAAAAAAAAAATGTATTTATTGTAATTATTTTTAATGATCCGCGGAAACCCTGGATCATTTCCGCGTGTTTTGCTGCTTTGAATTTAATCATCTGGCGCATGCCCTCTACCATCTCCAAGGAACTCAGAGCGGAGCGGACGGGAGCCACGGCGGAGGCTGTAGGCTTTGCTTTGCGCAGGCGGTCTGGAGCGCAGCGGAGCAGAGCGCTGACGGAGTATGTGGGATTTCGGGGTTAGAATGACATGTTGGTCATGTTGCTGTTAGCATAAACAAAACGTGTTGCACAATGCTTGCACACTGTTGCTCTTTTATCCACAACTTTCTTTCCGCCGTCATCGTAGGTCACTCTAAATGCAAAGCGGTCCCATACAGCAGACCTATAAAGTGCTGCTGGCGCGTCTTCCAACTCCTGTTCTTTCCCACTCGCCATACCCACACAATTCTCCACAACAACTGAGTTTTTTCTGCTACACCCGGCTACGCTGCTTCGCTTCTTCTTCTTCTTGTTTACTACTGGTGGTTGGCTTTGGTCGCAGTACCGCCACCTTCTGCTCTGGAGTGTAAACGCTTCCCCTATGAGAAAAAGGAGCAGCGCATGAACCGAACGCAACACACGCAAACCGAACCGAGACAGTCGAACCGAACGGTTCGGACGGTTTTCATAAACCGTTTCATCCCTAGAAGATTCAGGTAGAGTCCATCACCACACCCAGATTTAGAGCCTAATAGTTGGTTTCTAGCTGGATTAGCTGACGCTGAATGCTAATTTTTAAACTCTTCCTTTAGCCCGAAAATTATTACTTCTGTTTAGTCTTGATTTAGTTGAGGAAAACTGGCTTATCCATGCATTCATTTCTTCTATGCATTTACTCAGAGCTGGAACAGGTTCACAGTCCTCGGCTGTATAGCTTTGTATCATCTGCATAGTTGTTTATTAAATGGTTAAAGAGAGCATGTAGAATATTAAATAGGAGGGGCCCTAAGATGGAACCTTGGGGAACATCACATGTGATTTGTTTGGTATCTTATACAAAAAGCCTTTTTCCTTCAGGTATTATTAAAGCAGTCCAGTGCTGTACGGGAAACGTTGACCCAGTTTTCCAGGCGCTCAAATGAAACGCAGGTTAAATAAGGTAGATGTTGTCCTGGGTTCCATCTTTAGTTTTTTCCACCTTCAAACCGGATTTATAACAAAATATTCATCTATTTATCACCATAATCTCTAGAAGCTTCTCTGTTCCTGCTGCATTCCCCCAGTACCATGCTGCTCCCACCATGTTTGACAGTGGGAGTGACTCATGGCAAAAAGAAGCTAACATTTTCAATGTTTTCTCCCAATGTTGGCTTATTTTAAAGACTCTTCTCTAAAGGGCTGAGTTAGGAGTAATAACCACAACATATTCTCCCTACTAAAGTGTGGATCTCTGACATCACTCCCTGCAGGTCTCTTGGGCTGTGGGTCAGTTTGGTAAAATTTCAGTTGTGCAATCCTCTCTCCATGTTCAGACGGTTGATTAACTTCAAGCTTTTCAAAGCATGAGAGACTATTTTAAAACTTTTTAAAGAAACTTTAAGCCAATGAAACAAAAAACTGTGCAAAAACAGTAGTTTATACTTTAGTATATATTAAGCAAGTCACAGAAACAAAGAAACACTTGCAGCTCTGCATTGAAGGAAGTGAATTTTCCTCTTCGTTTAATTCAATTTGATGTGGTTCCAATTGAAAATTTCACTTTACTTGAAATTAAAAATTCTTTATCATGGAAAAAAAGCAACTAAAATAATTTGCTGCAATTTGCAACAATTTTTTTTCTTAAAGATTTTTTGACATTTTTGAGTTATTTTAAAGAAAAATGATCAGTTTTCATCAAATCAGATTTGAAGTAAACTTAATAAACTCAGGTGTAAGAAATTTGATTTATTTAAAATTTTGTTCAAAATAAAATCAAGCAGATACTGAAGCTATCACCTTTAACTAATGATTAAAAAATAACTGTAAAAGGAAAAAATAAAGAGGTCTAAGGGATTAATCAGTTACTATGTCTTTTCAAGTATATCATCTTTAGATTTTTTTAGGCTTGGGTACAGGGGCCATAACGGGGAGCAGAACTGGTTTTATAGGGCCCCTGTTGGCCCCTATCAAGGTTACAAATCCTGCAGCTTCTTGTTTGTTCTTCTGAATCTGTAGTAGGAGCATCAATGCTAAATGTAGCCACTGGAAAAAGCTGCAGAAGCAGTTTCTAAATATTGATTTTCTACAAACATTGAAAAATCATTTCACTTCTCCCTCTGAGGTTTTTCATGTGCATCATGTTGTTTTCTCTGTTGCAAAACAGAATTTGTGTTTTAGATCTGAAAACATAACAGTATGTTTGTTTTCTGTTTTTCCCAAATTCCTCATAAACTGTTTTTATCTTTTAGCTCCTTTCCCTGCGCTGACACCCGGCGGGTGCTGACACATTTCTCACCTCCATCGCTTCCGCATGCAGCCTGCAATAAACGCGGGTTTTGCATTCACGCCTCGGTGTCACTTGGGGGCACGCGTGCCATTTGCGCCACTGTCTCGTGCTGCGCGCCGCTTTTGTTCCCGCTCGCCTTTGATGATGCGGCGGATCACCGTGGGAAACACAGAGGAGGTGATTATGCGCACGCGACAGCTTTTTAAATGCATAAACCTTCTGAAGCCTAAAACTTCTTTGCTTACGCAGATTGGCTTATTTTACCAAACACGTGCAGCAGACCAACCAGGTAGGCCTAATAATAGGAAACATTTTAAAAAGTTATCATCATTCCACACACTCACACCCAGGGCCGGTTCTAGCCCTTTGGTTGCCCTAGGCGAGATTGAGTTTTGCGCCCCCCCCCCCCCCCCCCCCCCCCCCCCCCACCACTTTTGCCGTGCGAAATACCAGTACTGTTTTCAGCATCTGTTTAGTGCTTCATTGAGTTGTGTTTACAGTTCCACAAAGAGTGCTGTGCCGTGAATTGTGCCTACAGTTGTGCAAAGAGTGTGTTACAAAATTGCAAATTGAGTGCAAAGAAGTGTTTGTTCTGGAGTGATGCATAGACAAATACCAGAATAGGTTTCAGTACCTTTTCTTTTTTATTATTTTAAATAATTTATTACACACTCAAAGTTAGGACTGTGCAAAAACACTTTTAACCATCTGTAAGGAAACTGACGGACGCTTCATAACCGGTTTAATTCGATTTTTTTCTAATTCTATGATTAATGGGAAGTAAGTGTAACGCTTATTAAGGCTAGGCGCCTGACTACAGCCAAATATAAAAAATACCGTTAGACAAAAGTATGTTTAAATTATTGTATTCAAGTTTGAGTTTTATATATATATATATATATATATATATATATATATATATATATAGGAAGATATGCAATATTAATAATATTTATAATAAGAGTGATTTTCTATAATATAACCAAAAACACAACAAGAAAAAAAAAAAAAAAAGCTCAGCAACGAAAACAATAAACCCTGATGTCACCCAAGAGTTTCTATTTTGGTCCATTCATGAATCCAGGGTGATCAACAGTCAATCAATATCTGATTGATTGTTTTGGGTTTTGTTTGTCCATGACCCAGGGCAAATAGGTCCAGAATGAAAAAATAGCTTGGTTCATTTAAATCCTACCGCGAAGCTGCGGTGATCCGGTAGCTCGCCATCCTGACGTGACACACGGGGTGGAAAAAAAACCTGACCTAAACAAGGTCATAAATAAAAATAAAACAAATTAGCTGTCATGTTTAAACATTGTTAAACTGTTATCCAAAATAAATAAACATTCAACAATTACAAAAAAATAAATAAATAACTACATTCCATAAAGTGTTTCTCATGAATTTTTCAAATGAATTTCAAATTAAAGATCGCGATCAAATTTAAAGTTACATTCAGATTCAAATCAAAGGGTTAGCCTTATTAAAGTTAACTAACTAATTAAGTTAACTAACCTTATTAAAGTTACCGGTACAGACCAAATTAAAGTTACCAGTACAGATCAAATTAAAGTGCACTTTCAAATTATATTTAAGTTTAATTGATGCAGTCAATTAAACTTAATTGACTTCCATATCATTTCAATAAACAATTGCTTTTTTTTTTCTCTTATTTCGTTGCGCAACTCCACAAAAAAATGACCAAGCCCAGAGTTCCATAGGCCGTTAGCAAAAATTAATAAAAAGTAACTAAAACTGTCCTAAAAGGACGAATCTACAAAAATCAAAAGGCCTATTTAATATTTTAACAATATATAATCTATTCGGCCACAAAATTAACAAAAGAAAATGACCTTTTAAATCAATAAATAAACTTTTCAGTCATTAATGCACAGACTAAGTGGGCGTGTCGCCACCGCACTTCTATTTCTAAAGAAAAACAAAATACGTAAATTAAACGACTCACCGTCGAGCGGTCGGCAGAAAACACCCAATTTAATCCTTCGGCCGTCTTAGTAAGCCTCGATCCAGCCGTATTCTTCTATAAGTTTAGAAGACGCCGAGACGAGCAGCTAGCCACAGCGACAGCAGCAACAGCGATTCATATCCGAGTCACCTGTGACCCAGAACTTAAAGGGTGCTGTCAGTTTGACCCGCCAAAATAAAATACGGGTTTCTTGTGCAGGTTACATAAGCCTAAGGGCGATGCTAGAGGGCGCCCCCAACACATTTGTCGCCCTAGGCAATTGCCTAGCTCGCCTATAGCAATCGCCGGCCCTGCTCACACCTAAGCAGAATTTAGAGAACTTGATGAACCTACCAGTCATGTTTTTGGACTGTGGGAGGAAGCCAGAGTACCCAGAGAGAACCCAGGCATGCTCAGGGAGAACATGCAAACTCCATGCAGAAAGACTCCAGGCTTGGAATTGAACCTGGAACCTTCTTGCTGCAAGGCAGCAGTGCTACCTTCTGTGCTACTGAGCAGCAATTTCCAAAACAAATGTTGCTTTTTCAGAAACCGTTTCTCTATGAAAGTAATATTTTTTTTCCTTGTCTCAGCTTTTAAAATGGTCAACACATAAGTTCAGCCATAGAAACAAAATAAAGATGTTATAGTCTGTATCAGTTGTTTTGAATCAATTGTTTTCCTATTATATTATATTATTCTTATACATTTTTCTAAGATCCATATCTGTGTGACCTTTTTTTTCTATAATCTATTTGATGCATAACACCAGAATTTTCCCATTCTGGGACAATAAAGGGATTTTCTATTCTATTAAATTCTGTTATAATCAATGTTGCTTGGCAACAAGAAAGCCAAATCCAGGGTGTTTGCTTTTTCTTCCTAAGCATCCGAAGTTGGTAGAGTGCCAAGAAAATGTACTAGAGTTAAAGCAGCACTACTTCTACTAATTTCTATTTGAATAAAAGTAAAAAGTAACCGTCCAATAAATGACTCAAGCAAAGGTAAAAAAAGTAGTTGGTAAAAAGTACTACTCATGTACTCAGTAACAGTATTACTGTAACCTGATTTTTTTTTTTTTTTATGATCATAATATAAAGTTATGTACAAATTTCTTTTTAAAACTACAAGGAAGTAATGAATCCAAATCATGAAAACATATTGAGAAAAAACTCAGTGACTCGAAGGCAAGTAAAGAGCATGGTGCAGGGAAGCTACTCTAAAAGTAAATGTGTATTAAAACATTACTCAAGTAAATCTGAGTAAATGTAACTAGTTACTATCCACCTTTGCCATGCAGTCGACCTCGGCAGATGGCCGCTAACCCAATTTTTACGGAATGACTATGACCTGGATGACTGAGAATCTTCATCAGCACACTGAGCCTGGTTCTGCTGGAGGTTTCTTCCTGTTAAAAGGGAGTTTTTCCTCTCCACTGTCGCTACACGCATGCTTAGTGTGAGGGATTACATTCAAGTCAATGAGTCGATGCAATCAACTGGTTTTCCTTAGATAGAAAACTTTTAATCAATTTGACTGGATGACCTGGTGAACTGGAAAGTACCTTGAGATGACTTTTGTTGTGAATTGGCGCTATAGAAATAAACTGAATTGAACTGAATTAAAGAGTCTGGTGCAGGACATTCCCAAACATTTCAGCCTGTGACCCCAAAACTAACAACATAACATTCTTTATTTATAAATATGAAGTGAATTAATTATACCTTTTTAAAAATATATCTATAAATTGAATTGTATAAATCATTTCATTTTTTTTATTTATTTAATGCCACATTTAATTATATATTGGTGATTTTTTAGAGTGGAATGAAAGATTAAATATGTATTAGTTGAATAAATGAATCCAGATATATTTAATGTTACATTTATGTATTAAATTATATAATTTGGCCTTCCATATACCTCAGGGATCACATCAAGACAACACAAAGTTTTTATCTTTTAATTAAGAATCCATTGTAAAAGGACAAAGTCAACATTTAGGACGAGTTTATTGAAAGTATTGTGACAAAGGGTTTGTATTTATTTTTGACTCTGTGCCACTCAAAAAAAAAAAAAAAAAAGAGTTGAAATGTACGATTATTTCTAGTGCCTGTTCCAAACGAGGAATAAAATAGAATAGAATAAACCCCGAAAACCTAAACAGAAGTGTTGCTTTGGGCGCTTAGACTAATCAGAAAATTTTATTTCATTACCAAAATCTGGCTGCTACATTTCCCTATGTTACCTCCTACTAGTGTTAATTTTAGCAGCCATTTTTAAATTTAGTTTTAGTCTTAGTCCAGTTTCAGCATCGCTTGTTAGTTTTTATCACATTTAGTCGACATCATCTCATTTTTATTTAGTCTAGTTTTAGTCGACTATAAGTCGAGCATTTTAGTCTTTATTTTAGTCCAAGAAAACATAATTTTATTAGTTTAGTTTTAGTCAACAAAAACCGTCAACATTTTAGTCTAGTTTTAGTCAGGACATAATTTTAACCTTTTACTTTTTTGTCAGCAGATAATATTTAACATTTCCTAAAATGATTTCACATTTCAACATTTTCTCTCATCTTTTTGATAAAAACCCCCCCACTATTTTAAGGAACAAATGCAGACATGGAAGATGTTCTGACAATATTTGCATATTTATTTTGAACATTGTTAAGGTTTAAAGACACAAACACAAATGCTTGCATTAAAACAAATAAAATACACCTGACAAAGGAAACAAATAAATAAAATAAAGTGTTTTATGAACTTAACACAAGTGCTGACTGTTTAAAGCTAGTTCACATAGAATAATAAAATAAATAGATAGAAATAAATAGATTTGAGATCAATGATGTGAAAAAAATAACTCCAACTGATACAACAAAAGTGCTTTCCTGCCAGCTAGTTCACATGGTTTATAAAGGTACAGTATTTATGTGAAACAAGGCATAGCTTGCTGGTCCTGAGAGTCAGCTTTGTATTTGGTGTGGGCAATTAAGGAAGCTTGTATAGCTGGCCTGTCATTGTTTCTGGGTGGTTGTTGGTGGTCGGTGTATCTTCAATCTGGAACAGAAATTAATACAATGTCAGGATAGATGCACAGCATAACAGGAATTCCAAGTGTATAAGTAGCATATAGGTCTCTTTTTTTCCTTAACAAAAACTAAGTCTCTGTAAAAACTACATTTGACAATCCATTTCAAACTCATACAAACAACCTACCGTAACTATCATTTTATGCAGGAATAAATTGCAGGCATTTTTATGTGTGCATGCATTTTGGTTGCATTAATATTGATTAATATTGATGTTTTTCATCCAAATCCCCGCAGTGGTTCCCCTAGCAATGGCTATTTTGTGTATGAAAATCTAGGTTAAAGTTGTTCTGAATTATGTGTGGCATATTATTTTAATTTTCTTATCCTGATACACACTGTCAAAGACCGATAGTTTCAGTTGGTTTTAGCATTTAGCATACATGTGTAGCTGCCGAGGTGTTTTGTGTTAACTATAGTTCACTTGCTGCTCCTAGTGTACCTAAAGCGTCTGTCTGCTTTAATCAAACTTGCAATGTAACTGAAACTATAGTTGCCCGGCCAGTAAGTTCTATCAACAAGTGGCTACGGTCGCTACGTGCTAACAAGCTAACGTAACATAGCCAGCCTTGATACTAAATGCTATGAAAGTTAGCCAACATCAGTTAGTTTATCATTAGGACATTATAGCTGTTGATTAATGTTACATTATAAACAACCACCACCAATATTTCTGTTAACTTACCGTAATGTCTTTGTGTTGAACTGCGACGTGTCTCTTCAGGTTGTGTTTTTTCCAGCTATCATGTGGCCACATTCCTTCCCTTCGACTAAAATCAAGCATTTGGTTTTGTTCTCCACTTCAATGAAGTGAAAATGAGTCCATATAGCACGTATCCTCTTTCTCCCGAGCCCCAGAGTAGGCTACTCTGTGCCGCCCGCTCCAGGTTTGAAAGTGGGTGTGTGGGAGCTGACAAGGAGGAGGCGGAGCAGGAGATAGGATTTGAAAAAACCATAAAATAATAATATGTAATTTTCGTCTCGTCTTTGTTCGTGAACTAAAATGTCCATAGATTTTAGTCCAGTCTTTATTTACCAAACTGCATTTTCGTCTCGTCTTTATTAGTCAACGAAAAATATTTCTGATTTACTCCCAGTTATTAGTTATTAGTGGGGATTTTCGTCTCGTCTCGTCTAGTTTTCGTTGGGTGAAAAATGTGCGTTGACGAAAATATTTTCGTTTAGTTTTCGTTAACGAAATTAAAGGCCCATACATACCTCACGTAAAACACGGATACGGATACGTGTGGAGTGTTTCAAGGCCCATTCATACCTCACGTTTGGCCTGCACGTCCGTATTTTAACGCGACAATTCAATGCGAAATATGACCTTCTTGGCTTGCCATACGTTATGGCAAGCCAAGAAGGTCACATTTCGCATTGAATTCTCGCGTTAAGATTGAAGTTAACACGCAAAAAACGCGCGTTCTCCCGAGATTACGCCGCTTTTTACGCCGTCTTTTACCAACAAGCGCCGCCTTTTACGCTCGTCATGATAGTACCGCAAGACGCGCGTTAAATACGCGCGTTGTGTCGGTCAGAACGCGCGTTAAATACGCGCGTTGTGTCGGTCGGAACGCGCGTATTTAACGCGCGTTTTCCTAATATGATAATGATGTCCTTCCTTCTTTTCCCACAGCCAATGCATTTGAACTGGTTGCATCCAATGGCTGATCAAGGCAGCCAGACCAAGAAAGTTCAGCATAGATCTGCTTTGTGGAAAACTGCACAGAGCTCAAAGTTGCAGCATTGCCAAAATTCACTGCATTGCCGTTTCACAAAGACTTAATGTTAGGAATATATCCACTGCATACACTTTGCTGTTATTTTGAATCCATTCCATGCCTATTTTCATGTAAAAACGTTTTGCATCGCCAACTGATGTTTTGGATTTACCGGGATTAGTATGAATGTGTCACCAATTAGTAGTGGGTTAAGTAACCGCCTTCAATGCGAATTTTTTGCTTCGTGGCAGGTTCGAATCCGGCAGAGGCAGTCCGACTTTTCCCTTTATGTTCTTTCTTGTCTCCAACCAAGCTTATTAATTAATTAATTTTTTTCTGAGAATATAATCATAAATGTAGCCTACTTCACTGTTTTTGATCCATCGCCATGCATTCTGTCATGTAAAAACATTTTATATTGTACTAATAAAATGACAATAAAGGGGACACTTGTCTTCCAGAAAATTTGCCGGTCTGACTTGTTTTCTGTATATTTTCCTGCATATCACCAACCTTTTCCCATAATGCTTTCTACAGCCATGGAGCAACTGCTGTTAAAATTAAATTAACAGGAACATTTCTTATTAAAAGTGTTATTAGTGCAATGAGAAAAAACTTGCTTAGTTGAGCCAGTGGAGGTTTGATGATCCCCATAGCTCATGTTCTCTGTCTCCTACATATACACATATATATATATATATATATATATATATATATATATATATATACTATATATATATATATATATATATATATATATATATATATATATATATATACTATATATTTGCTGCTCTGCTACTGGCAGAGCAGCAAATACCAAGATAATGAAAAAATATGTAAACATTTTGCATTTAAGACAAAAAAAACTTTTAGTCTGTCAATATTCTCCATCCAGAACTCCTCAAGAGGAAACGTTTCTGTTTCACCTGGGGTCATTTCGTAAAAAAATCTACTTTTAGGAACCTTTGGGTGATCTGAATATTAATCAATTCATCAAAAAAATAATCAACAGATTAATCAATTTGCAGAATAATCATTAGTTTCAACCCTTATTTTATGATAGCATTCCAAACACATTTCTTCCATCATGCAGCACTGAAGGGCAGCTGCTTCACCCTGAGGCTGCCCTGCATCATTATATCTGTTTCCTACAATCATATAATGTTTCTATTCTACAAGTGCGTTTATAATAGTAAAGGATTAAATGTAACAACCTTTTATCATCGTCCTATATTGCTTGCTGTTTAAAAGCTCCTTATGTCTATTTTCTTTTTTAGTGGCATCATCTACAAACACAACACTAAGAATCAGCCAAAGTTTATTCAAATATAAAATTACTTTAAACAATTATAAAAGACAATATAACACTATCTTATCTGTAATGTAATAGTATCCAAAATAAACAGCCAGATTGAAGCATTATTTACCAGACATTAATGTACTAATTTACTTATGGACTGTGTGGAAATCTAGAAAAATAGAATCAGTGTAAATAGAGTTCCTCTGTTTGTCTTCATCCTATTTCTAGAAGTAGAATCAATTAAATAGAACTATTTTTATGTGGAAAACAAAAAAATAGAAGAACGTCAGCATCCTTCTCGTGTAATGTTCTACAAAATAAATTAACAGCTTTTATATACACCTGAACTGCCGTCAAAAAACAGAAAACAGTAATAGAAAAGAAATATTGGTGAAAGGGAATCAGAAATGTTGATAGATTACAGACTGCTCATTTCAACAGCAGCTTTTAGAACTCCTGTCTGACTCAGAATATTTTGTTTTATAGAAGAAATCCTAACTTTGGTTACTTTCATTTCTCAAGTTCCAAAAATCCAAACTATCTCCTGCTTCTTCACAGAACTGCAGTCAGAAGCTTTCGCCTGTTTTAGCCTAGAATAAGAGTGGGTTTCACCTGTTTACCTCTGTACAGTTATACATCTTCAAAAGAAAACACATGCTACGTCAACATATAACAGGCATATTTAGACTATATTTGGTTAAATAGGAATGTATTTACCTTCTGTCTTACTGGTAAGTTTAAATGCAAACATTTTCAAAGTGGAAAAAGTCCTAATTGCACATTGATCAGAGCCAGTGATGCTTTAAACATTGCTAAACAGCATCTAGTGAGTGTAGTGCTTATAAGATTTGTATTAATCTAGGAAGAAATTATGCTGTTCTCTTTAAACACATCAAAGCCTGATGCTCACATTAAGCATTAAAAAAAAGAGTATGCATCTTTTTGCAAAGGACCAATGACATTAGACCAATGAAACTGAAGACCAATAGTGTCCCTGCCAAAGCTGAAATCAAACCTATGCCTTTGATATTCTCTCTTGCCTTTAACCAAGAATATAATCCATATATGTAGCCCACTTCTCTGTTGTTTTTGATCCATCGCCATTCATTCTGTCATGTAACAACTTTTTACATTGTGCTAATAAAATGACATTAAAGGGGCCACTTATCCTCCAGAAAATGTGTCTGTCTGACTTGTTTTCTGTATGTTTCCTGCATATCGCTAACCTTTTCCCAAGCTCATAATGCTTTCTGCAGCCACGGAACAACTGCTGTTAAAATTAAATGTAACATCTAAATAACGTAGTACCTGTTTTCTGGATACACCCCCAATGGAAGGTGCTGCACCCATACCTTGTCTCCTACTCCACAATGAAAATGTAATTAGACTCTTGCACATTTGGATCTTGTTCTAGTACACATAAGTAAAGGTACTGACTAGTGGTCAAAGGTAGTGGGAAATAGATAATAGTTCATAATAAATAAAAAAGATGAAAGAATCCAGTATCCAGTTCTCTCTTGAAAAAGAGACACACCTTGCCTATATTGTTCCACAGCTTTGGTGCAAACACCTGTTTGCTGCTCTGCCAGTAGCCTACTCGTTATATGGCGCCATCTGCAGACTGAAAGCATTGTAGACTGAAAGAACATTTATGTGACGTGGTTAATATATATATATATATATATATATATATATATATATATATATATATATATATATATATATGTATGTATATGTATGAGACAGAGAACATGAGCTATGGGGATCATCAAACCTCCACTGGCTCAACTAAGCAAGTTTTTTCTCATTGCACTAATAACACTTTTAATAAGAAATCTTCCTGTTAATTTAATTTTAACAGCAGTTGCTCCATGGCTGTAGAAAGCATTATGGAAAAAGGTTGGTGATATGCAGGAAAATATTCAGAAAACAAGTCAGACCGACACATTTTCTGGAAGACAAGTGTCCCCTTTATTGTCATTTTATTAGTACAATATAAAAGGTTTTTACATGACAGAATGCATGGCGATGGATCAAAAACAGTGAAGTAGGCTACATTTATGATTATATTCTCTAAAAAAAAAAATAAATAAATAAATGGGCTTGGTTGGAGACAAGACAGAATATAAAGGGAAAAGTCGGACTCGAACCTGCCACGAAGCAAAACGTTTGCATTGAAGGAGGTCACTTAAGCCACCACGCCACCTCTCGGTGGTGATAGTTGGTGAAACATTCCTACTAATACCTGTAAATACAAAACATTAGTTGGCGATGTATGTTGATGCAAAACGTTTTTACATGAAAATAGGCATGGAATGGATTCAAAATAACAGCAAAGTGTATGTAGTGGATTTATTCCTAACATTAAGGTTTGTGAAACGGCAATGCAGTGAATTCTGGCAATGCTGCAACATTGAGCTCTGTGCAGTTTTCCACAAAGCAGATCTGTGATGAACTTTCTTGGTCTGGCTGCCTTGATCAGCCATTGGATGCAACCAGTTCAAATGCATTGGCTGTAGGAAAAGAAGGAAGAACATCATTATCATATTAGTAAAACGCGTGTTAAATACGCGCGTTGTGACCGACACAACGCGCGTATTTAACGCGCGTTCTGACCGACACAACGCGCGTATTCAACGCGCGTCTTGCGGTTCTATCATGACGCGCGTAAAAGGCGGCGCTATGGCAAGCCACAACGCGCGTATTTAACGCGCGTTCTGACCGACACAACGCGCGTTGAATACGCGCGTCTTGCGGTACTATCATGACGCGCGTAAAAGGCGGCGCTTGTTGGTAAAAGACGGCGTAAAAAGCGGCG